GGGGGGGGACAAATGTGAGCTCGTGTTTCCGAAATCAGTGCTGCTAAAAGAAATTCAGATCAATAAATCACAAATGCATACGAATCCCTTGAGGCTTCCACACACAGGCCCACACACTCCTGAGGGAAACACATGCACACTCTTCAGTTCACATGTATACACACACAGACTGTGTCTGACATAGGCAAGCAATACAACTCAAGTATAAGCAAACAGGAAAAAGCGGGAACGTGACAATCATATGCAGACATCAGCAATTTACAAAAATTGCATTTGAAGTGGTAGAAGTGGGGAAATTCAATTCAAAGCAAAATAGCATTCAAAATGACCCCCCATCCCTCCCAAAAAAACTAAACGCTTTTTTTTCCCTAGGAGCAACTTAAAGTAATCGCTGAGAAAAGACAAATCAAGCAATTGTGCCCATCAGCCCACACATTGCTGTCGGCCGGCTGATGCCATGGATTGAGAGTTGAGCAACAGGATGGGTTCGGAGAAATATTCCATTTTCATTTGGTGCAAATAAGAAAAAAATACAACCCTGGAGAATTGAGCCAGGGCTCCAATGTCTCGTGCATTAATCACAAGTCAAAAATACCCCATATACTGTATCACTTTCTCTGACTTTCATCATTCAGTAGCGATGAATCTGAACTGCAGTGCAGCCACCTTGCTTCTAAGCATCAAATAAGCAGTAAACCTTTTACGCTACTCCCGGGAAGAATGCAATTAAGTGCATTAGATATGGAACTTATGCTACAACCTCTGAGCTGTTGACATGTTAGGTTGGACAACACTGTAAAAAAAAAAATGTTGGGTGAACCCAAAGGGCCCTATTTTGATAGAATGGCGTAAAGATGGGCGCAAATTCTTTTTTGTGCCAGAGCAAGTCTAGTTTACCATGTTTGGGAATTCGGCAGACCGTGTTGCGCCTATTTGGGTGTTCCCCATTTTCATGGGTTGGACATATAATCATTCAGTTTTCACTGTTCAATATGACATGAACATTTCTTTTGTTTTTATGCAAACAGAAATGATTTGAACCAATAAATAGAAATTAAGCTCACCTCTGATTCCCTTGGACCGAGTGCGAGTTCGCTTGTCATCACTTTCTACACTCATCTGAGAAAGGGGGGGGGAAGAGGAGAGTCAATCATTTCTCGATGAATAAAGCAGAAATAATGAGAGAAATAAACAATTCTGTCAATCCTTCCTTGAACTGGGAGGGATTGTGGTACAGGGGGTGGAGTCAAGATATACCAATGTGCCTTCGTACTGTATGAATAGCGAGACAAGTGTGGGCCTTCGGAGTGGGAGCACGAGCTAATTTCAAAATTGCCCCCCTTTCCACACCCTCCATTACGACCGCCTGCAATTTGCAGCGGTGAGTGCTGCTGAACATGATTGTGTGTTGTATAGGAGGCAAGAGGCCTTGGCTGCACAGGGGCCACAACCATGAGTGAGAGGAAGCATTGGAAATTACAACTTTGAATATCAGGAGAAAGAAGCAAAAATCACGCAGCCTCTAAAAGCTGCTTTAATAACACTTCTATGAAGGGAAATTGTGTGTGCGTGTGTGCATGTAGGTGTGTGTTTGTGTGTAGGTGTGTGTAGGAGACACCGTGAGCATTGCTTAGTCCTAGCTCGGCTTTTAAGCCACAAAAGAGCAGGTGTTAACCCGGCTCCAGTAAACACACACACACACACACACACACACACACACACACGCACACACACACACACACACACACACACACACACACACAACACACAACACACAACACACACTCTGACAGAGGGCCACACCTCCTTAGTACTGCACTCTAAAGCTATCAGATGCTTTTTCGTCACAATGGACCTTTTAGCTTTGATTACTTGAATTTATTTTATCACGGGTTTAGCCTTTGCTTTTCTCTCCTTATTCCTCGCTCTTCCAAAGTTCCCTACACAGCCCACCCTAAGCCTCCTCTTTGCCCAGGCACTTAGCCGCTTTGTGTTCGCTCGAGCGTCAAGCTGGCATCGCCACAGTAGGGATTCGAACACAAGGCCCTGTTTCTCTTCTTAGTTTTCCCCTTTTCCCTCTCTGTTTTTTTTGGCAAAGACCCTTTCCTGCTTACAGAGAAAGAGGGATGAGAAGAAGATGAAGCATACTGTTGTTGCCCATTCATGAGCCTTTCGTGTCAGGCCGGTGGTACAGGTGCAGACAGAAAAAGTCCCTCCCTTCCTGTGTGCGGCCTCCACAGCCTTGGCCTGCGACCGCTTTCTGCCGCTCTCTTAGATCAGGTGCTGTCAGTGCTGAAGTTGTGCAACAAGCCGCAGCTTTGTACACTGCCTGAAGAAAGTAGTCAACTCTTTTAGTCGCCCACTTGCGACGAGGAGCTGAGTGGATAAGAGTGCCGCGTGGAGTGTTGCCGTGAATGTGCGCGTGCTCCCTCACACAAACGGCCCGTTCGGCGTACACACCCAATCAATTTGCAGGGCTTGGTAATGCAGGTGAAAAACAGATGATTTAAATGGTATGAAGATTTAAATGGTAGGTGGACGGATACAGATGTAAACAATGTCCGTGAATTCATTAAATGAGTGCGAAAGAAGGTCTTTGTCTGAAAATGCATGTTTTTCAATGGCACATGTGTGTGTCAATGCACTAAATTGTCATCTACTTTGCCCGCTTTCTTCCAATGGCCCCTGCTCATACTGATCAGTCATCAGGAAAGGGCGCCTACCACTTTCATGTTTGTGTAACCATAGCTACGCACATTTAAATTGGTAAGCACATCCGAGTCCTTCTCTTCTTCCTGTCCCTTTTTCTCAATTCCAGCTCATTAAATTTGTATGTGCACAAAGTCATAGTGAGTGGATCCAAATGCAGCAAGGCAGGCCTTCACCCGATTTTCATAATCTCTTTGAAAGGGGCCGCTACTTAATGTATCTTCAAACTTGTCCTTTTTACCTTGTTGTCTTTTAAGCGAGCCCCCTTGTACTTTGTACTTTCAGAATTATCAAAATCTCATGCATAAAAAAGAGAGTAGGAGGGGAAAAAGGAGAGAGTATTGAATCCAACTGTGAATGGAAATGTGCCACACTCGCAGCATGAACGACTGTATATCATGTGTGACTTCAACAACTGTGAAATGTAATATGTAATGGTGGTGGAGGAAGAAGAATATAAAAGCGCAAGGTGGAATTCAAAGCTCATCCCTACAGGCTGTGTTGTACATTCTCAATTAGTTTTTTTTTTGTTTTTTTTTTGGTGACGCTTTTGGTGTAAGAGGCCTTTGCTCTACACTGTGACAGCCCGATGTAAATGTCATGCTGGGGGCAATGACTTCAGAGAGAAGGTCACCATTCGTCTGCTGGCTCAAATTAATGACTCTTTAATTCATTTTTAGCTTTACAAGAGAGAGAGAGAGAGAGAGAGAGAGAGAGAGAGAGAGAGAGAGAGAGAGAGAGAGAGAGAGAGAGAGAGAGAGAGAGAGAGAGAGAGAGAGAGACGGACGGAGTTAACGGCAACTGCAAGTGGTGACGGAAGACTGACATCACCAAAAATGACCTGCAGGCACCAGCTGCCAATTAGAGGGGTGCTTCACACTTCTCTCCACCGGGCTGACCATGGCAGGCGGCATCCATGTTGGATTGCCATACGGAAAGCCCTTCCACGGTTTCAAAGTAGTCATTCATACAAGACAGAGCAGTTGAGCAGCAGGAGGAGGGGAAAGCACGCCTTTCTCTCGTCATAGAAGAGCAAGAGCAAAAGAGCCTCCACCAAGGCCAAGCTAGCTGTCCTTAACTACCCATTACTAACCTAAGTGGGGTTTCCTAATGGGCCACAGATGCATAATTATGAGGCAGTACAGCTGATTCCACACATCCTCATATTGAAAATTGAAATGAAATAAAAACATAAAATTAAATATGTGTTAAACTGCAGTAATTATAAAAATAAACAACGTTGTAATACTATAAAACTCAACCATATCGGTTTATAGCTAACATTAAACCCAAGTTGGTGGGTTGAAGGAAAAAAAAACTGTTTTGCTCACTTGCCAAGGTCACGCTTTTGGCAAAATTCAAAATATGTAAATAATTAAATCTGAATATGCAGCTGACCCTGATGAGATCTCAGTTTTAACCACAGCATCTTCTCTCCTCCAGTTCTGACAAGTCAGTTCTGTGACAGGTGTCATCGGGAAGAGAAGATTAGCACCTCCCTCCCTTTCTCCTCAGCTCTCCCCCGCCAGCACCAGAAATCAAACCAAATCAATAAACGTCATCTTCTTAGATGAACCTGAGCCGTCATGGGGGGAGCGAAACTACTTTTACTGGGCCCACGGGAGAACAGCCCACCCCCCGTCGCTTCCTCCTCCTTGCCCTTACTACCTCTCCCCACACATCTCTCTTTCATTCTCCCCATCAGCCCCCTCCATCTCTTTGTTGTGCGTCGCCCTCAGTTGTGATGCACGGGGCGAGAAAATAAAAGAGACCAGCTGTTTTGTGCTTGATGAAATTACCTCCAAATGATCACAATTTGGGAGCGTCTGTAAAATTAAGTTGGGAGCTACGCAAGGAATATTCATTTCTGCTGATATCAAGTATGAGCAGCTCAAGGCCATCCTTTTGAGTTCCTTTATATTGTGTTTCAGTATAATGGAGAAAAAAAAAGTGCCGGCGCGAGAAGTTAACTCAGCAGAGGTAAAGCGCTGAGCTTAACTAAACTGAGCTAAGCTGAACCGGGTAAGAGCAGACCGAGCACGGCCGGGGCGGGGCCGAGCGGGACATTTGATGTGCTGTTTGATTATGTTTTCCACCTGCCATCATCTGACCCCCTCCCTCAGCCAAAGCGCACCCTCGCCTTCTTACATTTCATCCTCCCCCCTTTCTTGATGTCCCTGCTGAGTTAGGAAATGCCCAGGAAGCAGAATTAAGTGGTTGGTGGAGTGTGCGGGTAACTCTTAGTGGTGGTGGGTGTTTGCGGTGGGGGTGGGGCTTGTCACTCACCATGATTGGTCGACGGCTCTGCAGTCTCAGGGAGGCCTGACAGCGGCTGCTGGTCCTTTCGCCTCGTGTCCACCGCTGGTTCACCAGCTCGCCATGAAATTCATTTTCTAGTGGGGGGAAGGGGGGGAGACAAGAGACATTTTACATGATCTGTACCAGCGGATGCGCAGTGGTTTGAGGAGGGGTGTGGTCAAAAAATACAAGGTTAAGGGGATGGGTTGATGGTACTCAGGCTTGGAGTACACACTACCCTATCTCTAAGGAACAACACGCACGTACACACACTCACACACGTACATGGTTAAGTGCGCCAGCTGGGGTCTCTGTCAGTCTACTAATAGAATCAATCAAATTTGCGCATTTTTATCGAGCTTTTCAGGGCACGTGTAGAAGAAAATGGGGAAAGGGGGGAGGCGAGGATGCCAGGGATGAATGGTCAGTAAATAATGAGTCATCCATAAATCAAGCTTCTTTTTTTCTACTCCCCCCCTTTTTTTCATTAAGGTAATAGCTCTTCACTTCATTGCCCTGATCACCCAAGAGAAACTTTAAGTCTATTCCAAATCCCCACTAGATTCGTCTTATTTTAACAGATGTTGTCATGGTTTGTTGCAACAGGGAGGTGAGGTGAAGCCAGATGCGCTGAATGAAGATGCACTAATCTACCTTTGTATGTTTAAAAAGACTCAGCTTTGTGACAAAACACAACTGAAAATGGATATTATGGTCAGTCAATCTTATACCTCGCTATGAACACTGTAAAAAACATAACGTGTAATTTGGGGAGCTAATACAGTCATTTAAGTTGGAAAAACTTACTAATTCAGTCTTATTTCTTATTGTGAAATGGAGGAAACACAATTTCCACAGAAGCAAAACTTAAAATATTTAGTCGAATTATCCAACTTGTAAAAAAATTGTGAAGTTTATTGCCTTGTAATTTGGAGTTCACACACTTTTTTTTTTAAAAGAGTGGACTGTTACTTATTGTCCAGTACATGAAGCTGTACTCCAAAGAGAGGGCAAACCAAAAGCAAAGATGAGAAGGACTGAGCGGTCCTGAACCCCAATCGATGCCCTTCCTGCAGCCTCTTACCCCCAAACTTCGCCTCTCATCCCAACTTTGCCCATTACATGCAAAACTCACCAATGCCAAGCCAGCATTCTGCAAAATGCTTGTTTATCAACTTTTACTCCCCCACTCAACATGAAAGTGATGACAACAGCAATACTGTTGGTCTGCATCTCTGTCTCAGCTGTCTCCAGTCATCAACGCGAACATCCATGAAAACACTTCAATCTCCTTTAGGATCCCCGCCCCCCTCCCCCTTTCCTTGAAAGTAAAGTGAAATGAACATTTGTCCTCGACTGTTAGCTGAGAGGCCAAGGAACAGAGAGCACTTACAAAATGCAAAATGTATTAACAGCATTTTAGGACACTTTTTTTTTTTTTTTTGCCTCGGGTAAAAGTCACTGTTCTCTGAGTTGAGTACTGAGCAAATGTTCCTCCTAGAGCGATCTACCGTTGATATCCCTCTATCAAATTCCACATTTAGTCATTAAAAGGCAGCAAAAACAAACAAAAAAATAATAAATTTATATACATATATAACATAGACACATTCTTTGATCCTAAGCTTTTTCTGTGTACCCAAAAAGACTTACAGCTCATTATTTCACTGCAAAACTTGGAGGTGGATGAGACAATTAGTTGCTCACTGGGGTTGGTTTGTTTAATTAGAAGCGAAAGGATGTGAGATTATCTGAGGGACGCTTTAATGCACAGTGAATGGATTAAAAGAAATCTGATCCGACAGAAAACATGCTTTATTTTAAAGCTCGCAATTCCTTTCATTGCGGATTTGCAAATACATCCACTCACAAGACACGTACACTGCATAATCGAATGAAATCCAACACAACAGCTGCATCAAATATTTCTTAACATGATAATAATGCTCATTTTTGTTTGTTTGTTGTGTCATGCTGAGGAGCAGTATTTGTAGTACTTTAGTGTCTTTATCTTTTGACATTGGGGGACAAAATATTCAAAACACTTCAATGATGCAGTGCAGCATTACGCCACAAGGTGCAAAGAAAAATATGTTTGATAGTAAGTCATATTTGTCCACGGTGTCAATCAAAACTGGATATTATTATCTTTGTGAATGCAGAATTTTGTATATTACCTCAAAATAAAAGTTTATGCAAGGGTAATACCATTACTTGCAGCTTACTGTACTGGGACGATGGAGCAAAGAGCCCTAAATCCATAGTTAGATTAAATACCAGAGTGGGCTGACTGTAACGGTATTAAGTGTACACACAAGGCCAAGCCAGCTGTACACTCCTGCTCCCGTAAAGAAGGCTTTAGTCACAATACAATGTGATTAGAGTTGGCAAAGAAGAAAGAGAATCACAAATCAAAAGTTATGGTGGAGGAAAGATAAAAATCACACAGAAAAGAGAGCATAGTCGTTACATCTGAATAATTTTGTTGGTGTTTTTAAGGGGCTCAGTGCAATCTGGAGGTGAGACAGTGTGTAAAGAGAGCCGTTAAAAGGCTGGTATCAGGACAAATGCCTGGTCCCGGCAGTTATGGGACAGAGGCAAAGCGACGGAGGAGAGTAAAGTAACAGCTTTTGGAGAAGCTCCCCTGAGGGCCACCCTGACCTCAGCATCTAAAGAACAACAAATGTGTCACTGCTGCTTATCACATAAAAGCGTGGCACTGCCACTGCACAGTCCTGTGTCACAAGATTGTATGTTTTGCATTCTTGTCGTCAGAATTCATTTTGCTTGAAATTCATTATTTCCAAGCATGTCATTTGAAATGCCTGCTCTCCACTGAAAGCCTGCAGGACCCTGACCTTTGCTTGTACGGCTGAGATTTCTGATAGGCTTTGAATGACGAGGGTGCAATTTGGCCCCAGCTGCTCCTCCAACATGTTTATTACACTCTCTCCTCCGGCACCTGCTGTCCTCGCCACAGTCCATTCAGTCCCTAATAAATTGAAAGGTTTGCCATTAAGGTACCTAAAGACACAGAGGTGAGCTCAAACTGAGCTGCATGCAAGCTCGATAGTCTCCAGTGACAACATCAGGCACCAATAACCTAATTCTGTAATCCTTTGAAACTGGGCTACATTTCATGGGAAAACAAAACAAAACAAAATGTTCATCACATCTGTTAGCAGTGCATCACATCAAAGTCACTTCTAGTGGACCCTACATGCCTTTTTGACACGAGACAGTTTTTCAACAGAATTTGAAAAGGAAGCATCATCGTCTCTACAACATCACATTACACGTTGTAAGACCTGCAGCAACATCGCAAGCTTTGAATGCCTCAATAAAGTTGCTGTACTTTGAAGACAGGACTAAATTGAGTATTACCACTCCCTGCTATAACCTTGACCAAGCTGAGCCATTAGCACAAAATAACGGCAAAACTTTTTTTCTTAAGTATTTTATAGGAAATGGAATCAAATGTGCAGCCGCCTATACAGTGAAAGACACATATAGTGCGCTTCTTCACTGTCATCATCCTCATCATCATCATCATCATCGCTCATCTCTTTCCTCCATCTTAGGACGCAGGTGCATTGACAGACCGAGTTCAGCGCATACATACACAGACACACACACACTCACATTACGTGGCCATGTAAGGAAAGCAAGCAGGAGGGGAGGATTGTGTTTGCGGGGGAAAAAACACAACACAGGTCCACATTACGCACCGCGGGTCGAGAATCCGACAACACGCTCCTTTAAAAAAAAAATCACCACAGAATGTACAGCCCGTGTCCCCAACAGAGATGATTATTTCTGGACTCGACTTTTTCGGGAATGCACGCTATTTAAGACGGCTGACATTTGAAAAGAGCATCGCTTGTTTTTTTTTTTCGCTGCAGAGGATCAAATGGCCAACCGCTCCCTCTTTAAAAACGCTCCATCGTTCCATCCATCCATCTCTCGCATTGCAACCAAAGCGCGGATTTAACAGCAAACTCCGCTCATCAGATTGCACACTTTGCACCACTAACAACACAAATACAGCTAGTATAAAAATATGGCCGGTATATATTCGCTGAGTGGCGGCGTTATAACGTATTGTAAACGGAAGCTAGAGGACAGAGTGGAGGATACATCTCAAGTGCAGGACACCCTTCCATAAAAGAGCACTAGCAGAGGACAAGTACGATTTGTGAAACACACGCACACGCACTCAAACACCGACACGCAGACACACACCGACCACGTTGGCGAAGTATCAACAGCACAAGAAGTGGATAGACGCGCCATAGTTGTAGCGGGTGTCCCGCATACTGTTATTAAAACACACTTAGTTTCCGACCTACAATTTAAATGTGAGGAAGTTCCAATTCAAGCGCGTGAGGAAAAAAAAATAACTGCGAACGATCGACGAACTGATTAATTAAGTATGCAAAAGTATACACGCATTAAAAACACCAAGGTAGTTCATTACCTGGAATCAGTAATATAGCGTCGCTGCCGCCTCCGTGTTCTAATAGTTGGAGATGAAGAAGTTCGCTTGAAACGACAACAACAACATCCGAGTGATAGTCTTAAAAATTATTATTATTATTATTTTTTTTTTTATGTATCCCGGTCCAAACGTCCAGATGTGGTAAGTAATGATGGAGAGGAAGCGAGCGGCCTCGGTCACACGCAGCACCGGCTCACGGCTTCGGATCGAGGCGTGAGGGATGTTACTTGTTTGTAAGCAAAAACATGGCTTCATTTGCCTTTGTCAGCGAGAAAAAAAAAACCCAATATTGACTTACCTTTCCCTCATGAGCCATTGTATCCCCTCCTCCCCTCCACCCCCACCCCCCATTCTCCTCCCTCCGCCCTTTGCCATGACATCACGGAAGCTGTAGTAAAACCTCGAGCATCACATGGGCAGGGCTTGAGGACCACCCCCTATCAGTCTCCGCTAACACACACACACACACACACACACACACACACCTTTCGCTGACTTTCTCCCCCCACTCACTCGCTCCTAAACACATGCATAAACTGAACCAATAAAGCTGCCGATTTCAAACAAGGAAAATTGCATTTCTATCTGATGAACATATTGAAAAGTTTTCCGGCATCCTTAATGGCATCAGTCGGAGCAAGCATCTCCGAGTTAGACATACCAGTCAACTATTGGTGCTGTAGCCATAATTGAAACCTTCTCCTCCCTACGCCTACCTGAAAATGGTACAGTCCAATAATTCATTCAAGGAGTATTTGTTTTCCTTCTACATTCAGCAGTGATGGAGTTACTAACCATTCGCAGAGACATTCCTTATTTCAAATATAATGTCTCAGGTCTCACAGAAGATAGCTCATAGACACGTGTTAACATGCTGGATTCAAGTTTGAAGCAGTGACATCACAGTCACAGATTTGTTGACAGATTCAATGAGAAAAATGCCAACTCCAAGCAGCAAAGAGACCATCTTAAGTCACTTCCAAATGTTGTGCTTTTCTCTCTTTCTTTTTTTTGCTTTGCTGTTTTGAAACCATTAGTGGAAATGACAACCATTCATTACAAGCCATTTGAGAATAGTCGCCACAAATGCCATTCTTTATCTGCCGTCTCCACGCCACGCACGCAGGGAATATTCAAAAAGCCCAACCTTCAGCTTTTAGAAATTCTATTAAATTCTTATCTCCTTGCAGCAGGCTCTTTTTGTGCAATCCCATTGTTATGCATTGGAGCTGAAATCAATCACCGGGCGTGCACGTCGCATCAGTATGATTTCAGACTGTGGCTGCTTGCGTAGGAGAGGGGACTCACACAACAGGGGCGACAATCGAATAAACAAGGCGGGTGGGGGATGATGGTGAGGGGGTTATGAAATATCCCGGGCCTTGATCCAGCTGAGAGGAACAAGGTAGGAGGCCCTGTGCAAAGTTAGGCCCGGTGAGAAAGTGACAACGTCAGGACTGCACATACATAAAAAAGACAGTACCCGCTTTAAAATAGACTTGCTGGTGTAATTGGGCCTGTGGAGGGCTCCAGAGTTTTTGCGTGTGATTATCAGTACCCTGGACAGCTCTCAGAGCAGCACAATCACTTACACAAGTTTATTGTTGAGGCCACAAAGGCTTTTGTCTTTCCTTCATTTGGTGTTTCAATAGGCTTGATGTGCAGATACAACACTATTGGTGGTGCTAATTTCAAAGTCTACTTCATTGTTTCATCTCGTTTCATGATACGTTGACAGCAGCTCAACTCCGGTGTTACACCGTAGATTAAAACATCCATACACTGTAAGAAAAAAGTTAGGTGAACTCAAAATGTCAAAAATTTATAACATTTGAACTGGGCAATTTATTCGACATTTTATGTTTTGCTGTTGTGACAATTGGTTTTCTGGCATTTCACAATAAATAAATAAGAGTTTGCAGAACTGCTGTCCTCTCAACTCAAAGATATAAGGAAAAACAACTCAGCACATTTTGGAGTGAACACCTCGCTAGCTTTGTTTTCCTAACCAACATTGTTTTCATAAATGTCTTTAATTTATATTTTAAAGTTGTTCCATATTAAATTACTGTTGCCCCCAAAAATCCAACTTGTGCTTTTCACATTGTATTAGTATTTCAATTAAAGTTAAATAAAACTTTGGAAGTTAATTGTATTGCATGAATACAGCTATTTAGGAAATAAAAAACATCCACCTGAAGCACAATTTGAAATTAAATGTTGAAGTTTTTAGAACATTGTTTTATTTTAATCAAAATAAAATACATAAACAGAATGAAAAGTATATTTACTTTTACAGTACACATTTTTAAAAAAAGTACAGCAGGTTTAGAATTTTGAATTCCTAATTGAGTATTTTAATCAATGTCATGCCCTTTAATGGTTGCCTGAAGTTGAGTAGCAAGTGTCTTACTAAAAAAAAAAAAAAAAAAAAAACACGACAACTTTAATGTGACATTGCTTTGCGGCAAGTGAATGTCGACTCATAAGATGAGAGCTGTGAGTGCAGATGGCACCGAGGCCTCCTACCACTTTTGAATGAAGTTGTATGGTGGTGATATTGTGCATAAATATTACATAGGGCAGCAGCTGACTGAGTAGTAAGGTTGGGACCCGGGAGGCCCCGAAGGGCTCTCGACAGATGGAACAAGCCGACAGACTAACGCAACAACAACAAAAAAAGTTTGTAATCAGCCTGCAGCTTGGCATTGTCCCCACGGTACCGCGGCCACAAGGTCCCCCTCGGGGGATCAACTCTTTTGTCTGGACACGTAGAGACAAGTAGACCGAGGGAAGTTTATTTGGAAAACTATATGTCTGATTTTGTCATTTGTTGATGCCAAACTTTTTATAGGGGTGTGATGATGCAAAACTGTAATCCCCCAACCACAAGCATGGGTTAAAAATAAATCCATAAACAAATAAATACATAAATAAATAAAACCATCTCACTTGTTTAAAACATTCGGACAAAACATAAAATGATGTGTTCTGTTCACAGGGAAGACTTTACCGAAACCATCAAATAGGGACAACCGCCGTTCAAATTAATGAGTTACTTTTACACACAAAAACTTTGTAAAGTTTGCTGCTAAAGTGAATACAAGTTATTGATACGAACCGAGGAAAGTGCGACACAGCTTCATCTTCGCGGCCATTCCGTCTGTCTGTCGTGTGTGGCGAGCTTCCAGTGCCGCCTCCAACTTTTTACAAGTGCAGCACAAACTTGCTCAAACTTTACTTCAACTTGCCGGGCCGGGGGAGGGGAGACGGGGATTGACAGCTACAGGGAGCCAATAGCGAGGCGCCGGGTTCTCCTACTGCTGGGAGCTGGCCCAAGGCCGAGTAACACCCCCAGCACACCATCATCATCATCACCGTCATCATCACCCCCCCGCCCCACTAAAGTCTCAGCTTTCAACAATAGCCTGCACTGCAACAAAGAGCATCTGCTGTGGCCGACAACTTCTCACAGTCACACTAAGCTCCCTCAGCAATGTGATTTAAAAGCATTAATACACACAACCAGGACTGACATCTCATTTCCTTTCACTTTTTACATCTGATATATGAGCATGTTATACTTAGGGAGAAAAAAAAACCTCTCAAAAGAAGATGACTTCAGTGAAAAGTTGAGGAAAGGGGAGTATACATAATCATATTTGCATCAAGCGCATACTCCACTCTCAAGATCTTTGTATGTAATATAATGGAGTATTAACTTCACATTTTATGTCCATATTGTTTTGTTTATTGTATTAATTTGCAAGTTACACTTTGCCCAGGGTGCCTTGACTCCACTCTTTGGGCCACAAGAAGCACACATATAGCAGATGTACAGCTAATTTGGGTAAGTTAGAGGAACATTTTCACTCTAACTCCCGGGCCGGCCTTTTCACAATGTGTGTGTGTGTGTGTGTGTGTGTGTGTGTGTGGGACAGACAGACAGTTCCTCCCTCCCAATAGCAGATGGTCGGCCAGATAATGAGCTCTCCCATTGCTTGCTCCCATTATCCTCATCCCTCCAAGATGGAATGGGGGATATATCACCATCAACACACAACCTAACACTTCTCCTCTTCATTTCATTTCATCTCCATTCATTCACAAAAAAAAAAAAGATTGTTTTCACCTCTTTGTTTAGAAAAGTTGCATTTGATTATAGCCAAGCAGGCGCATTTATAATCTGTTATTTGTTTGGCAACCCGCATCCTTAGTTCTGTATCTGAAAAAGCAACAACTCACCATATGAAGATTATACAAAGTTCAGTTTTTACTGCTATCCAAAATATAAATTAACATCATTTGAAGTGTACTCACAATTGCAAAAGTAATTGAACAAACAAATTAGAGGTTTAAAACAGAAAAAAAACTTTACTAATGCTGAGTCATCACAAATAACACTAAAATAAGAATGTCCAGCCCATGATACCAAACCAAATGACACTTAAAAAAAACTTCGAAATAGCTGTAAGCCTTAAATAAATTCTGAACTAAAAATAATAATAATAATCCAAACTAAACTAAACCCACACTTATGAAGTTGTAAACATGAACTAAACTATACTAAAACCACAGTTATTAAGTACTAAAATAAACAGAAGGGAAAAAAAAAAACAAAACAGTTATGAAACAAAAGCCAAAATGAGCTAAGATAAACCAAACTCACAAGTAAAACACACTTAAGTGAAATTAAACAATACAAAATATAACAAACACAGTCATAAAGTACAAAACCGAACTTTGTTCTGCTTTTCTGTGCTGTGCGCGACACAAATTTGGTACAGCATAAGCCACCGTCTATATTGCTTCCCCCTTGAGAGATGATCATTTTTATCATAAATTAAACACTTTACTCAACTCAACTCAATTGGATTGTGTCATCTGGTTTTCTCTGTGGTGTCCAACACGATAAAAGTGTAAAATGAAGTAAACCAAACCCACACAATTGCATTTTGAACCCCACTTTATTGGCATTAAAAAGTTAAAATAAACAGCTATCATTATTTTACTTCTGACTATATTATGTTTTGGGGAGCTTATTAATAAAAAGAAAAATAAGGCACTGTTAATTCAGCAGGACTGACATTTTTCACTCATGCAAGTGACTTTTATATTCAGTATATACATATATGGTAGACAACGTGTAGTATTCTTACTGACCACGGCTCTGTTATTAGCCTACTAACTGTACACACACTCTACAAGTTTGGCCGTACGCAACAACACCCAAATGAATACACATATAGCATAGACTACCAACCCCATAACACACACACACACACACACACACACACACACACACGCACACACACACACACACACACACACACACACACACACACACACACACCATCCACTTTATTCTCCCTTCTGTTCGAGCAGGCAGCTGAACTCTGACACAGCCTCCAGCTGTCCTGGAGATGGCGATGACAATAAAGTTAAAGCAAATACACACACGGGCACACTCAAGAGAAGGAAACAAGTCCTTGTTGAGGAAAAAAATGACCTGCGCAAGCTAATTAGGGGAAGATCTCAGTACATCTTCAATGTACCTATTTATTTATTTAACCTTTATTTATCAAGGCAAGAAAATTCTAGCCCTAACCCACAATGCTGGCCTGGCTACATACAGCAGATTAAAAAAAAAAAAAAAAAGCAAACATAGACAAACACTGTGCAGCTTGATATAGTTATACAGTTACATAATACATTGCATCATCGCTAGCATATGGTGAATAAAAAGTGCAGCGATCAAGTCATTGTTGTAATTATTCCCAAGTATTGCTCACATCACAAATGGAAATAACTTTTAAGGTGCAAGTGGCAATGGAGGGTCACATGTCGTGTATGTGTGTTTGTTTGATTTCGGGGAAAAAAAAAACCTGAAGGTGTGACGTGTAAAAGAGGTTTTTATTTTTCAAAACCTTTTTCTTTGTTGCCTTTTTTGTTAGACGCTTGCATATACTCACCCACCCACTCACGCATGTACAGATGGATATTAAAGATCAGATAGCCCCGCCCCCCCATCAACACACACATGCACTTTCTTTCACCTTCCCCCAACCAGACTCTCTCGTCTCTAACATCCGTGCAGCATGATCTTGCCCATATCTGTCAGCTCCCATTAGACACAGGCAATGGATTTGGACTTTGTTTTTCATTTGAACATCTATCCAAGTTAGCACATTTGCTAGTGGAATCAACTGTGGGGTAAAAATAAGCGCTGCCTCGCATGGCTGCCTTTTAACATAATAAAGGCTCAAAGTGCCTCTGGCTCTTCATTACTCACTTATTACACTGCGTCACTCTTTGGAGGGAGTTATGAATCCTTAACAGGCATGTGCGCACACACTCAAAGTGAAAGGAGGGAGGAAGCCAAGAGACAAAGTTTGGTCTGGATGCCACTGAGGATGACCATCATCTCAAGAGACCCACCCCTCCCTGTCGTCTCCCCTTCCTGCTTACCCCATCCCATCACAGCTTGGGGAGAAGTTTTGGGGGTTGTGGGGAGGTAGAGAGGGTTGGGGAGGGGGGTGACAAGTGGAATGGGGTCAGCTCTGCCAAAAGGCATCATGTGGCCCCAATCCCCTACATCGTCTGTTCCTCGGCTTGCGCTCTGTACCTTGATGTCGGGGGCGAGGGGGTGGTGGTTTGTCAGTTGCACAAGTCTCGATGTTTTTCATGCCAAAGCTTGGATCTCCTCATCTGCATGGCCACGCCTGGAGCAATGTAGCAGCTTCACAGGGCAGTCTAAATAAGCCCCCATTCGCACCCCTACTTTTTCAGGCCACAGTCAAGACGGGTGTCGTAGCGCCCACCCTCCTGCTGTGACCAGATGACCTCTTGTCACCCTGCAAAGTCACAAGTCTAGCACAGAGTCGAACTGCATGTGCGCATGGGTGGAGTCTTCTTTGTTTTGTTTTTTTAGCTAGACTTTGCACAGGTAGATCTGGAAGTAACGGGACGTTCGCACCTTTGTGCACTGTTGTGGGATGGAAGTAGTCTTTTTTCTGCCAATCCTCACAGCATCCTTCATTTGCATAAAAATCAGGGTGTTCTGAGCGCACTACAACTAAGTGTGCCATGGTTGCAGAGTCAAAAATAGACCCGCTGGGGTTCATGCATGACTTTTGCTGCTAAACCGCAGGATCTCCCATTGTGGATTATGTAGTTGGTCATGCATGTGACAGTTGGAGACCTCCTTGCACCACCGATAGTGTGTCTGTGTGTGACACTGGGACGTGAGGAAGAGACAGGTATGGACATTTCTTCAGTAGGGGATGAAGGGGCCGGAAGCAGGTTCATCCCGTGTGACCCAAAGCACCTCTGAAGCACGGTGCTATGCTCTGCTGCATACTGTATTTACTGATGACAGCACATACCGTCATGAAATGTGTTCAATTGGTTTAATGTAATGTATTTTATTACTTATGGTAATTGCTGAGAAATTTAAGATTCCTGTAAATCCCTGATTTTGTCATGTTTTAGTCCCAGCACTGCCAGAAAAACACAAATAGCCTGAGGGGCCGCTCGTTTGTTTGGAAGCCAAAATTTTGGAACTTTATTGCCTCGCACATGTGCAGATGCTTGTGCACTTCACTCAATCTTTCCAGACTCCTTTACCGATCATCATTTCACTTTTGCACCTTCTCCCCACACTTGCCCCAAACCCACCATCTTTGTATCCCCTCATCTTCTCGGTTCATGCCTCCCCACCACTTATCTTATGCTTTCTTTATACTTTCCCCATGTGCCTTCCCTGCATTCGCAGCAGGCTGGGCAAATGTGCACCCATAGCGGTGGTAAATACAGGCAGCACTTCACAAACAAGGGCTGATTACAATGACAAAGACTGCCACACTTTTGGGAGGAGCTTGGAGCAATTTGGAGGCTGCGGGGGCCACTGAGCGAGTGGCATACTTAATGGGCTTTGTGCGCCAGAAGAAAAGGGTCTGAGCTTTTGGGCCCAGCTGTCACTATGGAAAATATCAGACTGACACAGCACCCGATGCTCTTTGGCTTGCACTCTATTCTTCCTTCAAACACCCTCCCTCTGTGCCTCTCCTCTCTTTTTTCTCTAGTTAGCGAGCACAAAAAAGTGAAAGCTGCTGGGAAGAAACAAAAAAAAACACGCACACACAAATGAGAACTCTCTCTCTTGATCGGACACAAGCGGCGGTGAGACAAG